GTGAGGTTAACATTTTTTCAGGACACTAAAAAAAAGGTCAAAAAAATTTCCCAGACTAACATCAATGAAGTTAGGGTTCAAAATAAATTTTCCCTCAAATTCTTGTTAAAACATGCTTAAAACCTTTTTTGCACCAATGTCTTCAATATCTAGGTTTAGAAACTTTTGTTCTCACACCATTACTTATATGTCAAAAAACGTTTTATTTTCCAAATTTGGGGCCACCCTTACACAACTTATAATTTTTCCTATAGAAATGTCTCTGCACGAATTTTTTTTTTAACTTTTTTCGTGCTCAAATTTGTTTTCTGTTTCCCCTGCTTGATTTTTATTTTTGCTTTCCCCCCCCCCCAATCACTTTTCGAATGGTCCACCCCTTAATACATGCTTTAATTACGTCTTGCCAGCAATGCTGAGTTGTACAGTAGAATTTCTTAATAAGCGGTGTAATCATAGTTCTTGGTGTGTTATTTAGGATAAGTGGATTTCATTATTATACCATGTGTGCAATGTGCACAAATGGCTAGAAGGAGAATGTGATCACGAGGAGGACGATCATGATGAAACTCTTCCGTGGTTTGACCGTCGTGACAAAGACTTCATTGAACTTCAGAAAGTCATTCTCAACCCAGAATTTCTTGCAAGCTTCCAGTATTATACACGATTCAGGTAAATAGTTGTTATACATACAATTAAGATTTTGGGTATGTTCACAAATACAGTAGCCTCATAAAATGGAAGCCAGAATGCTTCACACAGGCATTTTTTATTGGGATTAAATTTCTGATATAATTGTATTCATTGATCAGAATAAAACCCAACTGACAAGGCAGCCATAACCTTTTAGCTGGTAAATACTGTATAATGCAATTATGTTCTCTATTTCTAGGCACACTGGTAGCATTGAATGTGCCAACAGTCTAAGCTTGGTATACACACCAAAGCGAATGCCATTCAGGTTGGTGTATCCATAGTTGTTGTTGCTGTATGTCATTTTGTGTTTTGGGTATTCCTAGCACAATATTTCTACATTACTGAATACTGGAAATAAATTGTTCTAAGAGTCCTTAAATCTAAACTTTAGATTCAATGCATATAAAGCCAGGAAACAGTTGACAGCAATTGACTGGAATTATCATGTTAATCTTCCCCAAGCAAAGACCAAGTCTGGGGAAGAGCGAATAACAAGAAAGTACAACCCGAGAACCAGGCAATGGGATGTCAAGATTGTAAAGGTTGAAAAGGGTTATGAGTATGTTCCAGTACTCATATCCATTATGTTAAACAGAAGAATATGTGATGCAGACGGTGTGACAAGACACATTTCTTTAAATGATAGCAACCCTGTCCTTATCTCCCCAACCATAGCCCACATTCCTCCTCCTGCAACAAAGGAAATTGTCCAAAGAAAGAGCAGATTTGCAAGTGACAACAAATCATCAAAATGAAACTACAACATAATTAGCCAGTGAACCATATATATTACCCAAATGTTTTTACTATATTTACATTTAACTTACAAGACCCTGCATATAAGAATTTGTATTTTTCAAGTTAGCCTGAACAGGTTATTATATAAATGGTGCTTATCATAAAATAAGGGTAAAGTAAACAGGTTCTTATTTTATAAAGAAAAAGCACCTCAATTTTGGTTGGTGTAGGTACAGTTATTTTTTGTTGGTGTGTTCAAACAGACATGCTGTTTATTATTATGACATATCCAGGACTCTGACTCATTTTCATTACTGGATGAAGAGTTTATTTTCTTTGATTTATAAATTTTTACTCTTATGAGCTAGTGATAAAAATAAAATAAGCATCTGTTTGAAACTTTAGCCTAAACAGGTTCTTATATAAAGAGGGTCGAAATAAGCAAATTTAACATAACAGGTTCTTAAAATCTAGGATGAACTCTCATATGTGGGTTCTTGCTGTATTAAAAAATTAATGGTCTCTATATCCCATGTAAACACCAGTAACTGATGGGTACTGTTCTCTAATTTTTAAAACCACACAGGATGGACAAATTCGTCTAATCCCTTTGCCTAGAAAGCCATGGCGTGCTAGAATGAACTGTCTATAACCAGCTTTGCGAAATGCTCTTGTGCTGTTGTCTTCTCTATCGTTAAGCCTGATTTCCACTAGGCGGAATTTTGTGTGCGGAGCGACATTTTCTGCCAAAACATTTTTTGAGCATGCGCAAAAGCAATATATTCATGTGCTGCTATTGCGCTTTTGTGCATTTTTTTGCACTATTTGTGCAGCCGCAAAGTTGAAAGCAGTTCAACTTTTTCAGTTTCCGCGCGAACGATGAATAGAAACAACCAATCACAACGCTAGAAATATTACCTCAACAATCAAGATGGCCTCCCAGTTGAATCTTTCAGGAGTTCCAGGTATCAATTTTTCTTGTGATATTATAAACGAACAAATAGCTGACAATCAATTTGAAATTGACAAAGATTTGGCAGAAGAGAGTCAAGAGACCTTTGTCTTGGCAAATGTTGTAAATGCAGCCCCTGACGAGGACGATTGTCAACAAGATTTTGTTGAGTTTGAACCTGGCATATTCATCGAGGAAATAAGACAATTGCCTTTTCTATGGAATACCTCCCTTGCAGTATACAAAGATAGAAAAATCAAAGCGAATGCTTGGAATAGACTTTCGGTCATGTTCCGTAAAGAAGGCGAGTGTCTTAATTAATTTATATATATATATATACTTAAGCTTTGAGCGAGGTCATTGAAACCATTTCTGCATATTTTTAAGCCATATAAACCTGCATCTAGGAGACTTGCCATATTGGCCGAAGATGAATCGAATAAGAGTTTTAACAAGTGAAACTATAGTTTTAGTGATTTTAAACATTTCATGGTATAACATTGTAAATGGGAGACAAGTGTGAAGTGTGCTTTATGGTAGTCAGAAACCCTATCATGCCAAAACAGGCTTAAACAGCCTTTAACATGTTTATATTTTTATATGGTCATATTTTTATATGGTCATATTTTTATATGGTCATATGGACATGGTCATATTAAAATACATGTCGATTTTTTTATATAGTTGAATCCCTAAAGACCCAGTTCAAGTATTTGAGGGATAATTTGAAAAGATGCTTGGACAGACAGGCCAGGGCAACAAAGTTGGGCGCTGCAGCATCCAAGGTTTCAATGTGCAAGTATTATAATGAACTTGCATTTCTTTGTGACAAGACAGCCAACAAGCCCACACAAAGCAATGTTAACATAATTACGATCCCTGATGAAAGAGTGGATGTCCAATCATCCACTAGCAAACATACACAAGAGATCATAACCCAAGTTGGAACAAAAAGAAATTGTCAGGAGGTGGTTGATAATAGCCCCATCAACATGAAGTCTAGAAAATCTGCTAAGGAGAGAGCTGAGATTGGTTTTGCTGTTGATACCATGCTAGTGAAAACACTAAAGGACATGGAGAAACCAAACATTCCTGCAGTAAGTGAAACAACAGATGCAGATACTCTATTTTGTAAAAGTATTATTCCCATTTTGAAGGGGCTTCCTGCCAAAAAAAATAGACAAGCCAAACTTAAGATTCAGCAAGTGTTGTATGACCTAGAATTTGGGGAATCAGATTAGCTGTTGAAATGCATTTTGAGCTGTATTTGTAAAAGTTTGTTATAATTACAAAGTTATATTGTTACAAAGTTGAATCAGAAATGAAATTGTTAATACAATGCACCATTTTGATAATTACGTCTTTTGGCCTGGGAGCCTTGCTCTCATGAATCGTGGGCCAATCACCTTTCATAATTTACTAATGAGAGCTAGGCTCTAAGACCAAAAAGTATGTGTGATGTAATTATCAAAATGGTGTATTGAACCTGTTGTAATATTAACTGTTAAAATTAATATTGTATAAACATGTAATTTTATTACAAATATTATATTTATTTTGTACATGATTGGTGAATTATATGAGTATTTACATTATGAACAGATATTTTAATAATAATTATTATAATTTATATACATTAGTGTAATATAATTATATCTGTTTATAATAAATATTGTTCATTTAAAATTTAATTAATATTGCCAAAAACATATTATATAATACTTCTCATACTCTTTCATCAAAGGGGATTGTAACCCGGCGTACCATGTCCCATTGCCAACTAACTTCTCCTTCTGGGGAATTAAAATACTTCTTGAAGTTGTCATGAGTTGTTTTTGCATTTTTTGAGTAGTTGTTCGAACCAACCCTTGAAATTGGATATAGTGAGGTATTTCGGGATGTGTCATTTCTCCACTGACCAGCCAGCCTTAACACCATTTACACTTTCTTGATCAACATAGTTAAATGGACAATAACTATGGCTGTCGCCTGGTAATCTGTTCCGCATTAAGAAATTGTACAGTCCAACTACAGCCTTTGTAATTTGTATAACAGTGTCAACTCTAGCAATGATTGGCTTTCTCAGAACTCGAAATCTTGAGGCTGCAATACCGAATGTATTTTCTATTATCCTTCTACCTCGAGAGAGTCGATAGTTGAAAATTCTTTGGTCTTCTGGTATATTTTGACCGGGGTAAGGCTTCATTAGGTAGGTTTTCAATCCAAATGCATCATCTGCCAGAAATACATAGGGAAATATCTCATCTGAATTTTCAATCTTCTCTGGGTTGGGAATATTTAAGAGGTTATTGTCAATAGCATAACCAAGATGGCTGTTTGTGTAAACACTCCCATCACTTTGCCATCCTGCATCACCAACATCCACAAGCAGAAACTCGTAGTCTGCATTACATACTGCCATCAAGACTATACTATGCGTTTTCTTGTAATTGAAAAAGTCTGACCCTCCACGAGCTGGG